TCAAAGGCCAAGTGGCAGGCAGGGGTTTCAGGGGGGAGGGAGGAGGGGGCCACAGCGGAGAGTAGGGCAGGCCAGTGGAGTCGGCCACCGTGGAGGGGGGAGGCAGCTGGGAGGAAGCGTGGCAGGGAAGGTGAGAGCTGGGACTTCGATCCAGGGGAGCAAATAGCTCACGTTGTCCCTGGAAGAGGGTGAGAGACAGGCCCATCCTGCTGTCCTGCCCTCATGAGCTGAGAGCCAGAGGAGATCGGGACTCAGTAATGAGGAACAGGGCATGGCCTGGGGCCTGATTGGCTAGTGCAATCCAGGAGAACACCCAGGAGGAGGGGACATTTGAGACTGGACCTGGAGAATGAGGAGGAGCTGCTGTGTGAAGCTGGGGGAAAGAGAAAAGAAAAGAGTCTGGCACGTTCCAGAACCTTTAGCAAGGCGGAGGTGGCAGAGGTGGGCAAGTGATAGGGGGCCTCCAGGACACTTGGCAGCCCTGTCACTCCACCTCTCAGAGCTCTGTTCCGTGATAGAGAGCCCGGCCCTCACGTGGCACAGAAGGCGCTTCACAGATGGCAGCAGCCGTTGTCGTGATGACAATGCCACTTTGGTGATGATGTCGCTCCTGTGAAGTGGGCGGGCACTCCAGAGCTTAGACCCAGCTCAGCAGGACTCACCTCTGCAGACAGGGCCTCCGCCTGCTGTGTCATGGGTCAGGAATGCACCGTGGGACCCAGTCCACAGAAGAAACGCAGCCCCTTGCTAGCCCAGAGTCACAGGCTGAGTGGATCTGAAGCCGGAGCCTACCGGGGGCCAGGCAGCAGCTGGCGGGCTGCAGTGGAGCATCTGAGCTTGGTGAGGTGCGGGGAGGTGGGTGCTGGGAGCGCCCTGCAGGGGAAGTAAGCCAGGCCAGTCCCAGAGCACCCACCCCATGGCTGCATGCCCTCGGGTGAGACACGTGACTTCTCTGAGCCTGGGTTTCCTGAAGCTGTAAGATGAGCAGGAGAATCTCAGGGCAGGTGAAGATGGTAGCAAATGTCCTAGAGTCTCTGGCTGTAGCCTGGCCCGTGGTCCTCCGTCAGTGCTGGAGAACTGTGGGCTTCAGATTCCGAACTGGCGCCCCTAAGTAGTTCTTAGGGCATCCACAGGGCCCTGATCCTCGACACCAAGTGTGTAGGAGTGTGCATGTTTCCAAGTGGATCACTTCGTCTATGTGTCCGAGGGTCCATGACCACAAACGGACAGCCTTGGTGTGGACAGGCCTCGGTGGGCCCTTCTGCCAAGGGAAGGGGGACCCCGGCTCTGTGGCCCTGCCTGTCTGAACGCCTAGTCCTCTTGAGGACCTGTAGGCGGCAGCTTCTCAGGAAGAGCCCTGGCCCCCTAACCAGAAGGTTCGAATATGCCGCTTTTGGGCTGTGTGACACAGGGGATGTCACAGCCCCGTCTGCAGCTATCTGCATCCTCTGAGCACCACTGCCTCGCACACACTCTCTGCCCACCCAGGTGTGAGCACATCTGCGCACCTGGCCCAGTGCTGGCTGCTTCCCAGCCAATGTTCCTCCGCTGAGCTCTCGCTGCCAGCGGAGGTTAGTGGTTACTGAGTCCTGTCTTCAGGGAACCCTTGCCAGTGGAGGTGGGTTACAAGGGTAAGTTAGATCATCTCTCTTAGAAGCTACCCTATGGCTGTTAAGATACTGGGAGAAACATCATTAAGGCTTTGCGAGGCGTCAAGGCTTCCAGGTCCCGGGACCCACAAATGAACTTAATTGCCTTCTGACCCACCTCCCCGTCATGTGTGAGGTCTCTGTGGGGTGGGAGCAGTCTAGTCTGGCTTATGTCTGCATCCCAGCACCGGCGTCGCACACGTGAAGGAGGAGAGGGCAGGGCGGAGCCAGCCCCCCCCCCCAGTCCCGGGCACCCGCCCACCCCTGCCCTGGGGCACCTGTTACGTAGTAGGGCTCACCTAGTGCAGAGTCCAGCAGCTCCTGGGGCTACTCCTGTGGTTCAGTTTTCAGGAAGTTTGCACACTGGTTGTTGAACCTAGCCATTTCTGAAAAACAAACACTTGTGATTATATAAATTAGATTTAAAGCAAAGGTAATAAAGCCCAACTCTCCCCACTCCCAGTGCTGCCGTTCAGTACCGTCTGGGCTCTCGAGGTTACCTACGTCTCTTACGTCTGCATGGGAGAAGCATCTGGTTACCTTACGCCCCTGAGCGTCTCCCTCCAGCTTGGCATTCGGTGGTGTCAAGTTGGAAGCTTGAGACTGGCTGTGGTGTGAGTATTACACCACGGAAAGGGGCCTTGAGGGCTCTGGGAGCCCAGGGTAACGGGCAGTCAGGAGAGGCCTCCTGGAGGAAGGGAGGGCGAAGCCCAGGTGTCAGGAGTGTGGGAGCAACCTGGGCGGACGGGGAGGGGCTGGCATTCCGGGCAGAATGGGTGATGGCACGGATGGGACTATTCCCATTTGGCAGACGTCACAGCTGAAGCTGTGTCAGTCAGCACAGCTGGACGGGCTTGAACCAGGACCGGATTCCTGTGTGTCCAGCTCCTGGGCCTGAGGTCTTTGCATGACAGTGCCCTAAAGGGTGACATTTAGGCACACCCCCATGTGGGACCCCTGCCACGCTGCAAAAGTGGACTCCTTCCACGGGCGCTCCTTGGGAGACCAGTGTACCCCAGGAGCGAGGCCGCCCTGGAAAGTTCCTCCGCCAAGTCACCATGCCCCGGGCTTCCTTCTTGCCAGCTCTGGAGGGAGCTCGGCCCCTTCTGGCCTGGGCAGCTACCTGGGACAAGGCCACCTGCCTCCTGGGGGGCCTTCGGGAACCAGGGGCCAGGGAAGGGTCTGGGCTCAGAAAGCCAGCTCCAGGCTCTGGGGTCACTTGTGCCCCACCATGCCCCCCACGGTGGCAGGCACGTGGGGAGGCAGAGTCTGTGTGTCTGTGTGTGTGTATGAGTGTGCGTCTTTGTATGTTTATGTATGCCTGTGTGGCTGTGTATATCTGTGTACGTGTGTGTATGTGTGTATCTACGTCTGTGTGTGTCTGTGTCTGTATGTGTGCACTCTGAGGACTCAGGCCCAGATTCAGTTAGGAGGGACTTTTGTAACTTAGCAAAAAAGGGTCTCTTGTGTTACCTCCCCCATACCATGCTGGCAGCTAGGCCCCACAACGCACAGCATGGCACACAGATTTGGTGATTTTCGTGAAAAACGAAAATGATTGATGTTTTTGCTTTTCAAAGTTTCCCAAATGTCTTTGCACATTTCCCTCTTGATCATCCCAATAACCTTTAGAATGAGTGGTTTCGTTTTCAATTCAAGGAAACCACCCTTTGGGGAACAAGAATTGAGGCATTTTTTCCACCATATAATTCACAATTTTAATCATTTTAAAGTATACAATTGAGTAGCATTTAACCCATTCTCCATGTCATACAACCCGTACTGCCTCTAACTCCAGCACATCTGTACCGCCCCAGAAGGAAGCCCCCACACCCATTAGCAGCCCTGGCAGCGACGAGGCTCTTTGGTCCCTGTGGACCCACCCTTGCTGGACGTTTGCTGTACATGGAATCACAGAGCAGGTGGCCTTTGTGTCTGGTTTCTTTCTGTAGCTGGTGTTTCCACGTCTCGCCGGTGCTGTCACGCACGTCAGAGCTTCACTGCCTTTTACAGAACTCGGTTCTAGAGGACGAACCCATATTGTTTCCTGTATCCACTCGTCCTTCGGTGGACAGTGGGGCTGTTTCCACTTTTGGCCATTGTGGACAATGTGGCTGTGAGTGTGGGTGTGCAGGTGCCTTTTTGAGTTCTGGGCTGTGGTTCCTTTGGGTCCACCCAGGGGTGAGCTGGGTCACGTGCTAATTCTGGTCAGCTGATGGGGGAACAGCCAGACTGGTTTCCGTCTGCTGCACAGAAGCCACACGTCTCAAAAGGAGGCAGAAGGGGGACTTGAACCAGGTCCTGTGGCGCCAGAGCCTGACCCCTCCTGCTGCAGACCGCCCCGACCTCCTTTCCATCTTCCCCTCGGCCCTCCCTGGAAGGAGGCGAGCAGCAGAGCACAGCCTCACTCCCCGGGGGGCGCCTCCTAGGAGGGCTGTGGCGGCCCCCTGCACCAGGGCTTGAAGGACGAGGAGGAGCCCCTCAGTGCCTGCCGGGGAAGACAGATGTGAAGGGAGCTGGCACAGTCAGGAAGGGGGCTAGAATCCCGGTGGTTGTCAGGGGAGGCTGTGTCGAGGTTGCTCTGACTCAGATCACAGTAAGTGTGCCCAATATACACTGGCCCTGCCGCGGCCAGACTCAGCCCTGGGGGCTGACCTGCACTGACCCCTTCACCCCACAACTCCAGGGGGTGCCAGGATGACCCCATTTACAGGTGAGCAGACTGAGGCTCCCAGAGGCCAGCTGGCTTGCGCAGCATCCCAGAGGCTCTGGCATAGGTGCCCTTGACATCATGCTGTTCAGCGTCTCCCTTGTGCCCCCAGGACTGGGGCTCAGAGAGACCAAAAACTCGCTCAGGGTCACACAGCAGAGGCTGGGGAAGTGGGAGGGTGTGAACTCAGGCCTAGGCCTGTCTGGCTCCTTTGCTCATCTTCCATACCTCATCCGTGAAATGGGGGCACAATAACCATCCACTTCTTGCTCTGAAGCGGTAGCGGGGAAAATTAAATGAAACTGTAATGACACCACGTGTGCACTGAAACCCTAGCGTTTCCCAGGCGGTGGAGGTCCTCGTCCTGGGCGCTCACGGACTCGGTCTGCAGTGCGAGGTGCGTTTGTACGCGTCAGGAGTCCGGGCTCTGGCCCCAGCTCTGCAGCTGCTCACTGTGGGTCCCTAACGGAATCTTTTCCCCCTGGGTTTGGTTGTGACAGCTGCAAAGTGGAATGATGGGGACCCCGCGGGAATGTGGGGGACCAGAGGGACCCGCGTGCGCTGGGGGTCACCCCGTCCTCGCCGCAGAGCCTGCCTCTGGTGGCTGACTGCTCTCTCTGGGCTCTCTTTATTCTTTGAAGAGACACTTGTCGCCCGAGGAGTTCCAGGAAGTGTTTGGGATGAGCGTGGAGGAGTTTGACCGCCTGGCCCTCTGGAAGAGGAACGACCTCAAGAAGAAAGCCCTGCTGTTTTGACGCTGCCGCGGCGCCTGACCACGGCACGCCTGCGGGAACCACCGCGCCCCTCC